TGTGTGCGTGCGCGCACACGCACATATGTGGGGTACTGGGAATTGACCCCTATCTGCACCTCTTGTAATTTTTTTTTTGTTTTGTTTTTAGTACCAGAAATCAAATTCAGGACCTTGTCCTTGTCGGACAGGCACTTATGCCACTACGCTATATCCCCCGCCCTTCATCTTGTTATTTTGAAACAAAGTCTTGCCAAATTACTCAGGCTGTGCTCAAACCTGTGGTCCTCCTGACTCAGCCTCCTAGAGAGCTGGGATTACAAACGGATAACCATGCCTGCTGTTCTCCCCTTTCCTAAGTGGAAAATGAAGTCAGACAGTGGAGAGCTTTCAGCGTATCAGCCTGAGATTTAGGCAAATCGCTAGGCTCCTGAACTGAGCCTCCCAAGACGAACAAACAAGCAGCCTGGCCCTGAGATTTAGCTATTAGATCAGGAAAGAGCCAGAGAGCATTCAGAAGGTTCACCTGCCACAGGCCTCCTTGTCTCACAATAAGAACAGGTGGAGGTGACTTCCTGTTCCCCTTCCCCACTATCACAGTGCATCTCTTTGGGCACTGCAGGGACCACCTGCAAGGCAGAGAGCTCTCCCAGCTGAAACTGAATTAAGCGCTCCAGGGGTCCACAGAGCCTGCTACCTTGCAGAGACCACTGTGTCCCTCATGCATCTGAAGACATGCAGTCAACACTAGGTAAATATGGTGGACAGAATGATGAACAAGAGATACCACCCCTCTGATCACATGGCTACCCTGCCCCGCCTAGCTCTCCGTAATTGATGGCCAGGGAGACAGCTCCCCTCCCCCAGGGTGACAGAATGTCTGGGCCAGGGGCTCTGATCCCTGCTATCCCCCAAAGCCCTGGCGCCAAGGCCTAGCTGTGGGGGCAGTGAGCCCCAGCTGGCAAGTCTGGAAAAAAGGCAACAGGATGGGGTGGGAGTGTTTACTAGGAATGAGAAATCTCCAATCTACTGTGGCTCCCTGTGGACCCAGCTCCCCCACCCCCTTTCAGGTCAATCTGGAAGGGCTGTCTAGCCTGAAATGGAGTGGGGGTGGATGGACTGGGCTGGATTCTCCACCTCTCCTGTGGTTCCAGCGCCTGCTTCTTCAACTACTTCCCACTGTCCTAAAAGCCAAATAGGTGAGCCGGCTTCTGGCCCCAGCTGCTGGTCTTGGATACCAGAGTGGCCTCTGGGGAAGCTGATGAACTGGATGGAGGGAGGCTTGCTGCGAGTGTCCCTGAGCATGTCACTCTCTGTGTACCTAGACCTAGTTGCTCAATGACTAAGTGACAGCTGAAAAATGCCTTTAAATAGCTAGATGTTGTGCTCTCCAAAGCTCATCTTCTACATAGAAAACAAATTGAGGTGGGGACAGGTGATCCCGTGTTTTTTGGTACGCTTTCATCTCCATTTTCTAAGGGTCCCCAGCCTTAAAAAAAACAAAACAGAAAGAGCTTTTCAGCCCATCCTTCAGGCTTGATCTTCCTGCGCCTCACGCTGTTGCCCTGTGTCTTCCGCTACTCCTGGTCTGGCTATGCTCTTCGCCCTTTCCGTGTCCTCTGGTCATCTCCGTTGCCTGCCTTCCGGTTCTGAGTGCATCCCCCCCCAATCCCGTCTCCCCAGCCCCTGTTTTGCCTTCACCCCATGCCCCAGCCGAGGATCTCGGCAAGCAGGACAGGGGACAGGTATAGGAAGCAGGGCAACAACTACGCGCATGCCGTGGGAACCCCTCTGCACCTGCTGTGCCCGCAGCCATCCAGGCAACCAGCGGCGGGCGGCTCGGAGCGGGGCGGGCTCAGGTGTGGCCCCGCCCCGGCTCGGTCACGTGACCCCGGACTAATCTTGTCCTGGTGACTTCACATGCCGCCGCGGGCCCTGGTCGTCATGGTTACTCCGCAGCACCCAGCGCTTCCCCTAGTCGCTTCCCCTAGTCCGCTTTGCCCCCTCTACTCGGACCCCCCTCCTTCTGGCGGCCTGCCACCGCCCCCCAGCTCAAGCCACGTGACTGTCGGGAAAGGGGGCGGGGGCGTTGTGGTCATAACGCCTTCCCATGAGCTTCGAAAGGCTTGGGGTCCATTATTGAAGTCCTAGCTGTCCCTCACTAAGCGCCCCAGTTGCGCCTGCAGCCCTACTCCCTGGTTGGCAGCCCAGAGTCTCAGCCTTAATTCTGAGGGTCTCCAAGGGAAGCCGAGGCTTGGGACCCGAGCAGGAGATGCGGAAGGCCTCAGGTCCTCCCTCAGAGGAAATTTTCCCCTGTGTCGGAGCGAAGCTAGGCCTGTGTTTGACTGTAATTTGCACTACGGTCAACATCTTCGCTCTCTAGCTGCAAATACATTTCAGGGGATGTGTTGGGCTGAATTTGGTGGTTTCTGCCTTTTGGGCCTCAGTTTCTGAAAAATTTAAGGGAACCAATGAGAATACTCTCTTTGGCTGGGATGTACTAAGGATTGAGTTTATATACTTAATAGTGCTTGTGCGATCCTGAGGCAGTCCCGGGCAGGCAGGGGAGCAGGTCCACTTTACGCTGCGGCGGCTGCTGCCGCCAACAGCCCTGGGTACCAACTGTGTACAGTGTATCGTGTGAAATCGTTCTACAGAGGTGCAGGCTTGACCACACTCAGCTTCCACGTAGAAGCCATGATGGAGGGAGCACAGCCGGGTATGTAACAGCTTAGAAGTCTGGGCTGGTGAGCAGACTTCCAGGATGATGTGAGACTTAAAAGATGGGAGAAGCCCTTCTGCGTGACTAGCCTGAGGGTGAAGCTTGAGCTTCTTGCTATGGCACCAGGAGCAGGGTAATACTTCTGTGGCTTGATCTGTAAAGTGGGACTCATCATTTGACGATTAAATGAGCCAATACACGTATACCAGAGGCTAACAGGTATAGTAAATCTTTCATAAAAGTTAGCTGATGACAGCCACACAGGCAGTGGTGCACACCTGTAATCCCTCAGCTGCCCGAGAGACTAGGAGTTCAAAGTCGCCTGGACAAGACTGTCTCAAAATTTTAAAAAAATTTTTTAAAAAGTGGCTGAGGGCATAGTTCAGTGGTAGAGTGCTCCTGACTTCACCAGCATTGCCAAAAAAGACAAAAAGGAAAGGCTGTAGTCATTGAAGACTGATACAGCTCGCTATCAGGCTATTATGTTCAGTTCGGAATGGCAGGGGGCCCCCAGCATGGAACAGAGGCTTATGGGGGTCAAAAGCAGTGGGCTACTAAAGGGTCTGACACAGAAGTTGCTGGCCAATTTGTTTCTTAAGTCCTTCTGAATTGTCTTGGGCAAAGTGACAACAGCTAATGAGGCTTGAACTAAGCACAAAACTAGTGAGATTAGAGCTAAGTGTGACAATGGGCCAACTTTTCAGAATCACCTGGGGTTCTTGTTAAAATATGCAGACCTTAGGCCCACCACCACACCCACTGAAAGTCTGGAGGAAAAAGCCTGGAAATTGTTAGGGGAGCTGAAACTATGTTTCCCAAAGCCCCTTGCCCTTTGCCTCCTCATTTGAGCTTTTTTTTCATGGTGGGAAAGTACTTGTTTGTGAAGCCTGAGGACAGCATCGTGTGTGATCAAAAGGCCCACCATGTATGGTGGGGATTGAACTCACAACCTTGTGCTTGCCAGGCAGGCACTTATTATGCTGCTGAGCTAAATCCCCAGCCCCTTGTTTGAGCTTTTTTTTTTTTTTTTTTTTTTTTTTTGTCTTTTTCCTTTTTATCGGTACTGGGGATCAAACTCATGACTGCCTGCTTGCAAGGCAGGCACTTATGCCGCTGAGCTAAATCTCCAGCCCCTCTTGTTTGAGCTTTTGTAGTTGTAGATCCCTATCATTCTCTTCCACTGATGCAGAAAGTACAGTGATCAATCCCCAGTACTGCAGGATCTTGGAAAAGGTCGTATTTGAGGATAAAGGGATAATTTTTTTTTCCTCTGAGACAGGGTTTCACTAAGTAGTTCAGATTGGCCTAAAACTATGTAGGTTGGCCTCAAACTTAGTGATCCTCTTGTCCCAGCCTCCTAAGAGCTGGGATTACAGGAATGCATGGACCACACCTGGCTCCTGGAGGGATTCTTGTTCTCCACAGTCTCAGGATTTGCTAACCAGCTAGATGTAGAGATAGGAGACTAGGATGACTTTTTTTTTTTTTTTTTTTTTTTTAAATGAGAATCAAAGCTGGTACTTGCCAAGCAGGTGCTTGTGCTACTGAGCTATATTCCTGGCTAGGATGATTCTTGGTTTCAAGTTCTAGAGAAGTCTGGTGCAGATCTGCTGTACATTCCTTTGTCTAGCTCTTCTATAGCTTGCACAAGGTCACACAGGCACTGTCAGAGACAAGTTGTAGATACACAGGTGCACAGATGTGTATTGGTGTATGTGTTACTAGGGATTGAACACAGGACTGTGCGCTGACCTCCATTACTAGCATTTTTTTAAAAGCAGAGTCTCCCTCTTTTAAGTTGCCCAGGTTGGATTTGAATTTATGGTTCTCCTGCCTCAGCCTCCTAGAGTGTTAGGATTACAGGAATGCACAAGTACACTAAGTTACTTATTTATTTCCAAGCTGGCCTCAAACTTGTGATCCTCAACCTATTAAATAGCTAGTATGTCAGGCCACATACAATTGGTTAGTGGACTGATATTTTTTGTGATGTGAGGGATCAAACTCAGGGCTTTATGCATGCAAGGCAAGAGCTCTACCACTGAACCACATCCCCACCCAACACCAGTGGTTGTTTTTTAAATAGCACACATTACTCAGCTGGATCTTGGTTTGCAGACCTGAGGATGGGGCAGCGGAGAAAAAAAAGAGGGGCTCCTTTCATCCCTGGAGAATGACTGGTGTAGCGCACTGGTGGCAAACCTATGGCATGTGTACCTTGGCAGATTGTATCACTGAAACCTCTAAAAGGTTCGCCATTACTGGCATAAAGGATGAGGCAGTAGGCACAGCTTGTCTGACACTGCTTCTGTGTCTCCAACAGATGCTTTTGTTATCAGTTGTGCCAGGGGATAGTAGAATTGTGTGGTTCGACTTTGCTTCAGAGAGGTCTGAGAGCACCAGGATAAAGTGGTCACCTGAGTGGTGTGCTCCTGAAAGGAGTGTAGTGTGCTCCTGAAAGCTCCTCAGTGGAGTCACGTGGAAGTACTTGTTTGTGAGGCCTGGAGGACAGCATCTGAGTGTGTGTGAGCAAAAGGCCCACCATGTATGTGCCTACATGTGCATCAATGTGAAGATCTAGGTGTGTTAGAGAACTTCGCGTCTCACATGCTCTCGTTCAAATGTGAACCTCAAGTGAAAGAGGCGCTGCAAGGATTACAGTACTTGTATAAAGAGGTCAGTAATCTGTTACTACTATGCTTGACCATTTTTTTTTCTTTTTTGATATTGTGGATTGAACCCAGTGAGCTTTCCACTGAGCTATAGCAGTATGGCCCTTTTTCATTCTTTGAAACATGCAGTCCTCTTGTCTCAGCCTCCTAGAGTGCTGGTATTACAGGGGTGTGCCACCACACCTGGTGATCTTGTTTTTGTTTTCATCTTTGAGATGCTGGACTTTGTGCATGTTAAGTACTCCATTCTACCAATGAGCTAGTCCCAGTCCCACTGGAGTTAAGAGACGTATTCTACCAGCACTAGAAAGGGCTGTTCCTTACATCTACCTAGTAGTACTCAAATACATTACCTGTAGACAGATTACTATTTGTATTAAAAGGAATTGCAGGTCACGTAGGATGGTTACTCGAGGGCAGAGTTCAAGTGTCGCCTCCAGCAGGGCATTCTAAGCTCAGTACCCAGTTCTGACTGCGCCTCCCCATTTCGTTCATTTCCAGGGCCTGCTGCTCAGCACCACACCAAGGCCCAGAGGACATGGCCTGCCTCCATGAGACCCGCACACCCTCCCCTTCCTTTGGGGGTTTTGTGTCTACCCTAAGTGAGGCATCCATGCGCAAATTGGACCCAGACACTTCAGACTGCACACCTGAGAAAGACCTGACCCCCACCCAGTGTGTACTTCGAGATGTAGTGCCTCTTGGTGGGCAGGGCGCGGGCGGACCCAGCCCCTCTCCGGGTGGAGAGCCACCCCCTGAGCCTTTTGCCAACAGCATCCTACAGCTACATGAGCAGGATGCAGGGGGTCCAGGGGGAGCTACTGGGTCACCTGAAAGTCGGGCATCTAGAGTTCGTGCTGATGAGGTACGGTTGCAGTGCCAGAGTGGCAGTGGCTTCCTTGAAGGCCTTTTTGGCTGCCTGCGCCCAGTATGGACCATGATTGGCAAAGCCTACTCCACAGAACACAAGCAGCAGCAGGAAGGTAAGCCAGACCCCTGTGGGCATCCACCTCTTATCTCCCTGGGTCCAAGATCTATTGGACAAACCCATGTAAGTCACCCAGTGGTCCCTTCCTGCCTCATGGCCCAGACCTTGCCCATCCCATTCCATCAGCCTAGCTTCCTGCCCTTTCTTCTCCCCCTAGGGGGGTGGTATGGGGCAAGGGACCAAGGTCCTCATACATGCTGAGCAAGAGCCCTACCACTGAACTACTACACTCCTAGCTTCTTTTAAAGTCACCCAATTACTTCATGCTGTCCCCTATACCTAGTCTTTTCAGCCTAATTTGGCTACCTTTCTTCCCTACTCTTGAGTCATTTCAGCCAACCCCATGCTGTCCTGACCCTGGCCTTGAGTGTCACAAGACCTTGAGTGAAGCTCTTTCTGAGCCTTGTGGCACTGTGCCTCCTGCCTACAGACCTTTGGGAGGTCCCCTTTGAGGAAATCTTGGACCTGCAGTGGGTAGGCTCAGGGGCCCAGGGTGCTGTCTTCCTGGGGCGATTCCACGGGGAGGAAGTGGCTGTGAAGAAGGTTCGAGACCTCAAGGAGACTGACATCAAGCACCTGCGAAAACTGAAGCACCCCAACATCATCACATTCAAGTGAGATCCAGGGCAGGGGCTTGGGATTTTACACTAAGGCCAGGGACCCTCCTGGGCAGTGGGACCTACCCGATCTTCCCCAGAGGGGACCTCCCCTAGCATGGATGGGAACTAAGGTTCCAGGTGCAAATCAAGTCAATGGTGAGCTGAGGGTTTCATACCATTATCTGCCCCAGGGGCGTGTGTACCCAAGCACCATGCTACTGCATCCTCATGGAGTTCTGCGCACAGGGCCAACTGTATGAAGTGCTGCGGGCTGGCCGCCCTGTCACCCCTTCCTTGCTGGTTGATTGGTCCATGGGCATCGCCGGCGGCATGAACTACCTACACCTGCACAAGATTATCCACCGAGACCTCAAGTCTCCTAAGTGAGTAAGCAAGCAAGCAGGGAAAACACAACAGGCCCATGATTGCCCAAGGCAGTCGGTACCTTCAGACCTGTCCTAAGTCCATGTGCCCATCTCAGAAACCTCTTCCAAGTGACAGACCTATCGTGGAAGGGCTGTGGTGAGCATCTCACCTTAGGATGTCCCAAAGGAGGTCAAACAGGAAGGCAGAAGAGCCACATGGTTAGAAGGGTGTGAGGAGGGGATTAGACCCCAGCTCACTACACTCTTTTATCAGCATGCTAATCACGTATGATGACGTGGTGAAGATCTCAGATTTTGGCACTTCCAAGGAGCTGAGTGACAAGAGCACCAAGATGTCCTTTGCAGGGACAGTAGCCTGGATGGCCCCTGAGGTGATCCGCAATGAACCTGTGTCTGAGAAAGTCGATATCTGGTAAGGGCCAGGCTGAGGACTAAATTGGGTGGCCAGCAGGGGAGGAGGTATTTTCAGGAATTCAAGAAAATGGGTCTGTGGCAGCCAGGGCCTCTGGAGGGGCTCCCTCCCAGATGATGTCCCATCTGATCTGCAGGTCTTTTGGTGTGGTGCTATGGGAACTACTGACTGGCGAGATCCCCTACAAGGATGTAGATTCCTCAGCCATCATCTGGGGTGTGGGAAGCAACAGTCTGCATCTACCTGTGCCCTCCAGCTGCCCAGACGGCTTCAAAATCCTGCTTCGCCAGTGTTGGTAAGGATGGACCAAGAGACAATCCCTGGCAAAAGTTGTGTAGCAAGGGAGTTTTGCTAGAGGATGGCCAGCCCTGAGCAGTGAGGCACCTAGACCCAGAATCCTTACTTAACAAGGGGTAAAAGCTCCTGTTTCTTAACCAGAATGGCTGGGTGTGGTGGCACATACCTTTTGGGAGGCTGAGGCAGGAGGATCACTTAGTTCCAGGCCAGCATGGGCTGTATAGTGAGTACAAAGACAGCCTGAACTACATAACACCTGGTCTCAAAAAACAAAACAAACCAGGGTGTAGGATGTGGATTAAGAGAACTGTAATGTAAACTAAAGGTTGGACTGCACCTTAATTGGCATGGGTCGTTAGACTGACCTGAATCTAAATGCAAGTATACTACCTTCTGAGCTGAGGAGCATCACCCCTAAACCTGCTTCCTCATCTAAAAAACATCTGCTACCTGGAGTTGCTGTAAGGCAACATGAATACATAGAAGTACCAAGAAAGAGCATCAACACTAAGTAAAAGTAGCTCAGGTTCAAAGACAGTTTTGGAAGGCAGGAGAGAAGGTTAAAGATTTAATCTTTTCCCAAAGTTTTTCTTTTAATGAAATTACTCAAAAAGGTTTTTGTCAGACAAGTTAGAAAACGGGAGCTAAACATATCTCCTTACCCCAGGATGTTGATGTACCAACAGACATTTAGGAATGTGTGACATTTCCTAGAGAGTGGAGCATGGAGTTTTTTTGTCATAGAATTCACACAGTTCCAGGTGTCCTGTATCCCAACCCAAATTGGAGAATCATGGTGAGGGCAAGGCCAGCCTGGGCTACACAGTGAATTCAAGGCCAGCCTGAACTTTGCAGCAAGACTGTCTCAAAAAAACAGAAACAAACCCAAAAACACAACCAAAATTCAGTCTAGGACTAGATTTTCTGATACACTTTGTGAAAGGATGATCTGGTTCCTCTCTAATCTGAAATTTCTCCCTCAATTCCATTCCCTTCAGGAATAGCAAGCCACGAAATCGGCCATCATTTCGACAAATCTTGCTACATCTGGACATTGCCTCAGCTGATGTACTCTCCACACCCCAGGAGACTTACTTTAAGTCCCAGGTGTGCTGTGGGTAGGAAAACTGAGTACCTAATTCCCCCTCTTTACAGAGATGATGATGCACTCTAAAGAGGGAGCTGGGAAAAGGGTTGATTTGAGAGGATGATACCCTTGGACAAGTAGCATACCATTTTGGTACCCACTCCTTCCTGCTCCAATATAACATCTGCAGTGTAGTCACCTTTAAGACCCTAGAAATAAACACTAAATCCCTCTGCATTCTTTCCACTCCCAGGCAGAATGGCGGGAAGAGGTAAAACTACACTTCGAAAAGATTAAGTCAGAAGGGACCTGTCTACACCGACTAGAAGAGGAACTGGTGATGCGAAGGAGGGAGGAGCTCAGGTGTGTGCCTGCCTGGGGAGGTGGTTTTACTACCTGGGTAGACTGGACATCACCAGGTCCCAGACTTGGGACTGTTGTGGTTCCAAATGTTATCATTTAACCTGGAGGTACCCATTCCAGACATGCCTTGGACATCAGGGAACACTATGAACGGAAGCTGGAGAGAGCCAACAACCTGTACATGGAACTGAATGCCCTTATGTTGCAGCTAGAACTCAAGGAGCGGGAGCTACTCAGGTAACACCACCTGCCTTATTGCACTGACCCTACCACAAGTCTAAATGGAGCTGGCTGACCTTCGAGGATCCCTTCTTGTTTGTATCCCCAACATGTACCTTTAGGAGGGAGCAAGCTTTAGAGCGGAGGTGCCCAGGCCTGCTGAAGTCACACCCTTCCCGGGGCCTCCTGCATGGAAACACCATGGAAAAGCTCATCAAGAAGAGAAATGTGCCACAGAAACTATCACCCCATAGCAAAAGGTAGGGCTCAAATTCATAAGACAGGTTAAGCAGGCAGCAGGGTTGCTGGAGCCTGCATGTGATATACTTGCTCTGTCCAAGTTTAAGAAATACTTTGGAGTATACGAATTCATTAATCTCAACTTTGTACTTTTCCTCTACCAGGCCAGACATTCTCAAGACAGAGTCTTTGCTACCTAAACTAGATGCAGCCCTAAGTGGGGTGGGGCTTCCTGGGTGTCCTAAGGGCCCCCCCTCACCAGGACGGAGTCGCCGTGGCAAGATGCGTCACCGCAAGGCCAGTGCCAAGGGCAGTTGTGGGGACCTGCCTGGGCTTCGTGCAGCTGTGCCACCCCATGAACTTGGAGGACCTGGAAGTCCTGGAGCCCTAGGAGTGGGACCCTCAGCTTGGGAGGCCTGCCCTCCAGCTCTCCGTGGGCTTCATCATGACCTTCTGCTCCGCAAGATGTCTTCTTCATCCCCAGACCTGCTGTCAGCTGCACTGGGAGCCAGAGGGCGTGGGGCAACAGGAGCTGGGGATCCTGGTTCACCGCCCCCAGCCCGGGGTGACACCCCACCAAGTGAGGGCTCAGCTCCAGGCTCCACCAGCCCAGATTCACCTGGGGGAGCCAAAGGAGAACCACCTCCACCAGTAGGGCCTGGTGAAGGATCAGGGCTGCTGGGAACTGGAAGGGAAGGGACAGCAGGCCGGGGAGGAAGCCGGGCTGGGTCTCAGCACTTGACCCCAGCTGCACTGCTGTACAGGGCTGCTGTCACTCGAAGTCAGGTAAGTATGGAGAACTTCCTATATTCTTCCCCTTTTTCCTTACCTCCAGTATTCAAGGCTCACCCTCCATACTACATTCAATCTTAAGCCATGCCCTCTCACCCTTTGTAACTATGTTCCTTTCTGCATTCTTAATGACCTCTTCCCATTATTGACTACAGCCCCCTGTCTCCTGCAGAAACGTGGCATTTCTTCAGAAGAGGAGGAAGGAGAGGTAGACAGTGAAGTGGAGCTAACATCAAGCCAGAGGTAAGTGGTACAGTACCAGTAGTAATGATATTCTTTTGCCTTCCAGGCTCCAAAGGGCAGAAGCTGTGAATGCCCTCCTTCTCTAACTCTTAGGTGGCCTCAAGGCCTGAATATGCGCCAGTCATTATCTACCTTCAGCTCAGAGAACCCATCAGATGGCGAGGAAGGTACAGCTAGTGAGCCTTCCCCAAGTGGCACACCTGAAGTGGGCAGTACCAACACTGATGAGCGGCCAGACGAGCGATCTGATGACATGTGTTCCCAGGGCTCAGAAATCCCACTGGACCCACCTGCTTCAGAGGTGGTCCCTGAGCCTGAACCTAGCTCCCTGGCTGTCCCACACCAGGACCTACTCAGAGGTGAGCAGGTAAGTTAAGAACCAAGAATAGGTATTAGGAACAACCAGAAGCATCTGCATAACCAGTTGACAGTTTTTGGGAGACATGCACAAGCCAGTAAGATTTCTCAGTTTCTGAGCCAGTTTTTTCCCTCTCCAAAGAAACCAATATCCAACAAGGTAGAATACAAGGCTTATGGTAGTGAGCAATTGATAAAAGGGTCTGGCACGTAACTTGCGTGACAGCTATTAAATACTGCTATGGAAGGATCAAAAAACTAGTCTGGTGCCTTGGCAATTAAAATCTAGGAGCAAGAAAAATCAGCAAGTCAGTGGCTATTTAAAAAAAGATGGCAACAAGGAGCCCTGAAGTAAATCTATTTGTAATACCAAGAGATGCTGAGCCCCATCTCACTGCACGTCTACTCTTTCTCACAGGGCCCTCCCAATTCTGAGGACTCAGACTGTGACAGCACTGAATTGGACAACTCCCACAGCGTTGATGCCTTGCGGCCCCCAGCCTCCCTCCCTCCATGAAAGCCACTCTTATTCCCTGTACATAGAGAAATATTTATATAAATAATATATATGCGCCACATAATCAACACAGAAAGATGGGACTGTCCCAGCTTTTAAGTCTGACTTGAGGGAGAACTGACTCCCTGACCAATTCACCTGATAAAAACTCTACACTGGCAGCTGGAGATTACTGCCCTAGAGCTGTGCGTAAGGAGAAACCGACCTTCTTGCTTCATCCCATTCCTTATGTACTGCAACCAACTAGGCAGTAGAAAAGCCAGAATTGTCTCTTAAGCTCTTAACCCCTACACAGCTGGGGGGGAGAGGGGCAGGAGAGGGAACCACTAAAGACTGCACTTTTGTTTTCTGTTTACACATTTTTGCACTTAGGAGGAGGGAAACTAAGGTTGGATCCTCCCCCCTGAGGTTTCTCAGGTGGCAATGTATCTCATTTCTTTGTTTCTCCATCTCTGCCTGAGCCCTGACTTAGGGCCCAGGGGGAGGCTGGGAGACTGATAGCATGTGGATGGCTCAGGCTGAAGAACTGGGGTCCTGTTGAAGTCCCTGCTTTTATCCTGGTGCCAGATTGGGGTGGGGACTGTCATATTGTAACCCCTGTGAAAAACCTTCAAATATAACCACTCCATGCAGGCCCAGCTGTTGAGGGTTTTCTTGGTGAATAAATGGGGTACCACATACGGTTAATTTAAGTAGGGGCCTTGGATTCAAAAACTTCTGAGAATTTAGGACCAATTACTTTCTACCTTTCCTCACCTAATAAAAATTTTATCAAACCAACTTCTTAAAATTATAAGCATGAATGGCAGCAACCACTTTCTAAATGATAGGAACAGAAGTGAAATATTGTTGTAAGACCATACATGGACAGTTATTAACATCAAAATACTAAAGGCTTTAGTATTAAAATAGGTAAGCTTGAAAAAAGGGATGGACTACTACTACATATATGCAAGGGGAACCCCTCTCTAAAAGTGCTTGCCCTAGTCTACAGAGCAGTCCTAAAAATCTAATGCTGACTCTGGGCATAAAATTTTATAAGGGCCAACTAGTATAGGAAAGAAAAGATAAAGGGCGAATAAAAAACATGGAAGGCTAAAACAAGAGAATTCATATTGGAATAAAGGCTTCTATTCAAAACCCAATTAGGGTCCTGTGAGGGATAAAAGGTACAAAAATAATAGCAAGACAACAGGAATAAAACCCACATGGATCACTGTGGCATCCAGTTTCTATTCACAAAGAAAAAGCTCCAGTCCATCTTTTAATTTTTTTGAAAAATTCCTGACATTACAGAACTAAACTGAAATGTATTAATATTCCACTCTTACATTTTCATGACAAACAGAAAAATTCATGAGCCAAAAAAACAAATGGAAAAAAAAAAAAAACAGGGAGAAGCTTATAAAACTAAATATGGATCTCAGCATTAACAGCTGAACAGAGAAAGGAATTAAAACGCTTTAATTAAAAAATCACGAGTGGATGATAAAGTGTGTAGAAACTGAAAATTTACAAACTATTTAAAACCTGGAATCGCTGACTGTTCAGAAACTACACAGATGGATCATGGGTGGTGGTGAACAGCAGAAAGGGTTATGGATGAATCTGCATTGTTCTAGCTGCTCCCCATGCCACCCGTCTCCGAGGAAAGCCTGTAACACAGAAACAGACAAGAACTCCAAGTTAGTTTTCCCCGTGCCCAACTACCCTTCACTTCTAGAACTTTTAGCCTGCTGGTAAAATGAAAAGGAGTACAAATAAGCACCTCAGTATCAAGGAAGACATGTCAACATTTTCGGGATTAACCTGAATATGCCATGATCCTTTTTAAAACTTGTACAATCTAAGAACAGAAGGAAGAGAACCATGGAGGAGTTCTTCAATCTATGTTCTCTGAAACATCTACTAAAGGCTTTCTGAAGACAGCCACATTATTAACAAAGGTCATTTTTGGAGGATGTACATATATAAATATGATGCCATAGATTTATTTAACTTTCTCCACACATCCCATTTTGGAAAGAAACATCTGAAAATAGGTTTGTGAGCTTAATACTTAAGATATCGCCAAAAAAAAGCCTTTAGTATAGTGCCCTATACTTCTATCAGGATGATTTCTATTACTATGAAGATGTGATATAATTTTAAATGCTAAGGGATATTAAAGAGGGAACAGCAAGTACAGTGACTATAGGCCAATAATTTATTGTTCTCATGCTTAGATTAGATTTTAAGACTGAAGAGTAAGAGAAAAAATTGTTTTAATACTCTAGAACTCACTTTCAATAACTCCTTAATCTACGGTCTTGTTGAGCCAAATTCTCCACCCAAACGCCTCATGGACTATATTTAAAATACAATCATTCCGTTCTTAAACAGAGGCACCTTCTTAGCCAGGTGTGGTGGCAAAGTTATGTAAACCCAGTATTCAGGGAAGCTATGGCAGGAGGATAAGGGAGTTCAAAACCAGCCTAGAACACTGTGAGACACTTTCTCAAAAAACAGAAATCATACTACAATCAAAACAATGGGGTTGGGGGCATGTGCCGTTCAGTGACAACTGAAGAAGGTCCAGGAAGTTCCAAGAAGATGCTAGCACTCTTCTAGCCCGAGTTCAAAAGAACTGTCCAGAATATACACCAATCCTGAACGGGGTTTTGGATGGGGAGAGTATTAGGGCAGGAGGCAGGGAAAACAAAAAGCCCAATCTGAAACATATTAAAGACCTGAGAGACTATGACTCCCTGGCAAAGCACTTGCCTTGTAGGCATGAGACTCCAGGTGGACTCCTCAGACCACCAACAAAAAAGAAGCACAGTAAGGACTCTTAAGACACTAATCTTTTAATCAGAAACTGGGTAACATTTAAAAAGACCAAGCCCTGTCGGGAGAGAAAGGTAGCATCAGTATACCAAGTCCTAATTACTGAAAGAATTCTGGGAGACCATGATACAGTAACGACTGGAGAAAAAACTTCTGTTTGCCTCTCCAATTCTTCATTCAGACTTACAGCATATACTACTACTAATATTAATAGGCTTAATCTGTGAGTGAAGAGCCAAAACACAAAACAATGAGATAATATATTGGACTCTTAGTGAAAGCTAAGTTTTTTTGGTACCAAGAATTGAACTCAGGACCTTGCACTTGCTAGGCAGGCGCTTTGCTACTAAGCGTACATCCCTGGCCTGAACAGTTAGGTTTTAACAACGAAGATCAAAGGTGATATGGGAAAAAGGTCATTGGAGGGAAAATTCTGCACACCAAGTTATTTTCTCTAATACCAAGAACATATTTTTTCAGGACCTTGCAAATAACATACTCTGGGTGAATAACAAAAATCAGACTCTGTGTGTGTGTGTGTGTGTGTGTGTGTGTGTAAAAGACAGACAGACAGATAGAATGAATACTGGCGATTAAAACCAGGTGTTCATACACTGCTAGGCAAACGCTCCACCACTAAGCTATACCTCCATAGAGACAGACCTGTGCCATCTCAGAATAAGTAAACACGCAGCTGAGTGTGCTACTCAGTAGTACATTGCAAAAAGTTCTCACTCGGGGTCAGGGGATAGCTCAGTGGCACAAGTGCCTGCCTGACAAGCATGAGGTTGTGTTCAACACCCCCCAAAAAACAAAACAAACAAACAAAAAACCCAGTTCAAACCTTAACACCAAAAAATAAAGAAAATGACAAACTTCATGGAAGTAACACACTGAGTAAAAGCAAAGCACCAACTGAAAACACAAACTGAACTGTTAGCTCCTTCTAATAATAATGATCTATAAATTTAAATTCCCCTATGGCTCTTTTTTTTTGATAGGGTAATTCAGGCTGGCCCTGAGCTAAGTAGCCCAAGTTGGCCTCAAACTCACTGCAATATTTTTGCCTCATCCTCCAGAGTGCAGGATTACAGATGTGCATAGATGTGCACCACCATGCCCAGGGGTTAGCTCCTTCTAATCATATAATCTACAAATTTTTAAATTCCATCGCGTTTTTTATTTTTATTACAAGGGGATGATTTGATGAGTTATAGAATGGCTGATCCCTAAGATTCCTTCAAATCAAAACGTAATTTCCCACTTATGATAGTGTTCATGGGAAAAAGGAGGGGTAGGCAGGAAATAATAGGGTACAGGAAATTGGCTGACTATGCAAGAGTTGGTTTAGGATGACCAGTCAGCATCTGAGAAATTCTGGGCAATGTCACAAACTGGATATTCAAGATCTTCCTACTGTCATAAAAGACGGACAGTACTCATTCCCAGCAATGTGGACTGACCTACTGAACTGATTTAGCCAATCCCACCCTACCACTCTGGGTAGAGAAATATGCTCTTTGTATGTATGCCTTGGAAGAGATCCTAACAATAATCACTCCCCAGAGGAAATAGCCTGGGACAGACATCCTTGTTCCCTGCTATGATTGGTAGGTAAAAATTCTGAGAAACTTTCTACCTGGCTGATTATCAGTTTTAAAGGACCTTTTACACCTACCTAGGCACTCCTCTGAGGGAATATTGACAAAGGATTATAAAAGTAATCTGGGAAACTAAAAGGTCAAAGCCAGTTGTGTATACTTCCTAGTTGAATAGCCACAGGTATAAGTTCCCACCCCTTTACCCCCCCCCCCCCGCACAGCACACCATGAACTAGGGTTCTTACTCTGTCAACTTTATTACAGCTAGAAACACAAATCTGGCCAGGAAGGCCTGTCAATAGCTTAACCATTAAATAATTTAAAAAAAGTCATCGAAGAAGCTTTTATTCATTAACACAGAGCCTAACACATTGTTATATTGCAAGGCAGAATAAAGCTACAAAAAAAGATAACAACAAGAAAGGAGATCAAGAACTGTGGCTCTAGATAAAGAATTTGACAAGTCAGACTCTGAAACAGGCACTCAGCTGAAATGGCCTAAACCTAAACAAAGGTTTACCATTCCCTCCCCATCCCCCACCCAATTTTATCCCAAGTAGTAAAAAGAAACCAGTCACAAGCTCACAATAGTTTGGTTCTCGACAGTATTAACAAAGGAAAACAAAATGAACCAACAACACTTGAGGATGTGCCTCAAGATATGCGCTCAGTAGGGGGAGAATCTCTGTTTCTCACTTTTCAGTTTGTTAGTTACACATGGCACCGCAGAAGTGGTGGTGGTGGTAGCTGAAGCCCCGGTACCCTTAGCAGCAGACACAACATTTAGAGCCAGGAGAGGGATGGGTTTCATGCCAAGCAGACTGGAGACACAAGGGGCGGTCGGAAGAGGGTTGGGGAGGCTGGAGGGTGCGTCGGAGGTCCCCGCTGTGGCGAGCGAGGGGGTGGTGGTGGAGGAGGAAGAAGAAGAAGAAGAAGGGGTGGAGGGTTGAGAGAGGTTGATGCTGAGGTGATCGGGGATCGTGACGGAGGCTGCCTGGGAGGAGGGTTTAGCGTTTTCTAAACTGTAACAGAGGAAAAAAGGAACAAAAAAAAGGGTGGGTGGAAGGGAAGACCACAAAAGGGAAAAAAGTACAGGACAAAACCTCTTCAGTTCTATCAGTAAGTGCCTTTGGCTGCTAACTAAGAAGACTTAATATCAACTGGTGACAAGCTCTCTCTTAGACTCTATCCCACCCTCTAAATATGTGTAGTTTGCCACCTTTCATTCCACAATGCTATTTAAAACTCCTTTAGCCAAGAAAAAGCTGACAGGTTGACAAAAATCATACATGGCATACTTTCTAGTTTTGACACACTGACCCAACCCAGAAATTAGGAGTGATTTTCGGCAGAGAATGATTTCAGGAAAAAATAAAAAAGTACTCAATCTCCAAACAGGGAGGAAAAATGCTTCACTTACCAATCAAATGTCAATTTTCCATTTTAAAAGAAAAACCAACTATCAAGTAATTACTTGCAAAGCTCTGATGTTATGTGGAGTCTTAAAAATTGTTTTTCTTTGTAGGTAATATAGAAAGATGGCAAGAGTTCAAAGTAGGTCACTAATTTCAAGGAATGTAGCATTTTCAAAGAAAAACGCTGAGAACACAAGTGTAGATAAGAACTGGAGCTATTCTAGTAGGAGGTGGCAGAATATAAAAGACTCTTTGTTTTTACTGAACATACTTCTAATGTCTAATGTTGCCTTTAAGAGAGCTGGAAAAAACTCAAGCACTGCCAAAACATTCATGTTTTTTAAAACAATCAAAAATAATGCTTCTACTCTTAAAATATGCTCCAAACAACAGTAACTCTTCAAGAGCAGGGAGACTCCTCTTAAAGATTCCATTTTGTTTATCTTTGTTCAGAATCAGTTGCAACCCATAAAGGCACAGTAGTTAACTACAGAAAGGCCCCAGACTACCACCATGAAAACTAGAGAGGCACAGCAGAAATGTTCAGAATCCATTAATGAAAGATAAATCCTTCTTGTCTAGTACTAATACAACCAGTCAGATTGTTACAACCAATTTGGGCCAAGATTAGAAGATGAAGACCAAATTCTATGTATACATAGTCTTTGTTTGTTAAATGAAGCTTTGAACGTTCTGACACAAAACCACAGCCTCAACGGTATCATTAAAGGAGATGATTCTAAATAGGCAGATATCAAATAAGAAATAACACTGAACAATGACTCCAAGCAAAACTTTTCTGCTTCTTTACAGTATGGTCATTAACTTACTGTAACAGCAACCAGGCAAGCAAGTCACAACTAAGAAGTCACAATTCAAACTTATCTGGTAATACACTAAAAGGCAAAAAAAGTCTTCTGAAAGCAGAAAACACTTCATAAATTCCAAGAACATGATTTTTGGCACCTAAAACTCCCCTCCGCCACTCTATAGTTAGAAACAAGAAAGGTAATTCTTCACAAACAGCCTCTGTGAGAAAGCTTACTCCATTTTACTCTAAATATTAAGGACTGGATATGCTTGGTTGGTAAGCAAAAAAACAGATCTAGACACAGGAACATTTTCTACATAAAGACTAACAACAGTACCTCAAAGAACAAAAACACATAAGGAAACTCAGGACCACTACTGGGGAACTAATAGCATTTTTAGCTAGGAATAAACACATGATCAATATAAGCATCGGAATACAGACCACAGTTAGGAATTCCTTTCCCCTGTACTAGATTTAGGAACTCACATAAAACTTTCATGATGAAGAAACTGAAAACTTAAGAGAAAGGCTGATGATGAAATAAAACTCCCTTAAAAAAAAAAAAGACAACTGAAGCCCCTAGGGAAGTGGGCTGCTAACACTGGCTTGAAACATTAAACAATTAAGACTGTGACTAAAGCATGTAAACTGAGAGAATTAAAAAAAAAAAAAAATCCTGAAGATGTGCTCATCTAGGACAACTGTCCTACAACCTGAGTGTAAACATTACCTTCATATGGCCTAAGGAAAACAACACCTCAGGAAGTGATAGAGATGAGACTGAAGGAGTAAGAAAAAAATATATCTGGTATTTCTGAAACATTTCCATATTTCTGCCTCCCCTTTCCCACAAGTTCTGAATAACAGAACGTACTTGCAATTTGAGAAAAATAGATATTTTCAGAATAAATGGTGTGGATGTTAAAAATAAAAATTAAACTGCTCTGATGTCTCTTTACTCCTTTATTCTTAATTAAATATGCTCTGGACTTTAAGTCAAACCATTGAAAAATATATTGTCCTATAAAACATGAGTAACATGAGAAATGCTTATTTGGGTTTTTCCAGTATTACTGCTGCTCTAGCCAGAACACTATCCTATTAGTGAAGACATGTCATCCTTTCCACTCCCCAAAACCCCCAACCAGAAAAATCAAATGCAAGCAATCTATACCACCCCATGCAAACTGACTGCTATCTTTTTACTGCTACACTTAGGACAGAATCAAAAAAAACTAGAGCACCCACCCCTGAAACAATTCCATAGATGGTAATCTAGTGCAATACTCTCCAACACACACATTATTGTGTTGGCATTCATAAGGTAAAAGGCAGGGCAACCTTACCTGACATTGATTAGATACTGAGCCAGGCTAATGCTGGCAGCAGATCCAGTGATGGTAACCTGCCTATCAGTAGATCCTTCCACTGGGTTCGCAATTTTGATCTGCGCCCCAGACATCTGACGGATCTCATTGATTTTGGCGCCTTGACGGCCAATTATGCAGCCAATCAACTTGAGGGAGAAAAAAGAAAACAAAAAAGGCACACCAAATTAAGATTCACAGAGACTACATGAAAGAATCACATTGCATCTTTTAGAACCTAGGCCTAAGAATATGAGAATAGAAACTACCACTTTCCCCATAAACTCCTGATCAAAACACTTGAGTTGTAGATCCCAATTCAATTCTTCACCCATCCTTCGGACAACTTCACATCACAGCCAACTGTGAACTTCTAGACCAAGTATTAGCTTTTCATTTCTTTTCTCAAAGTATTAAGTCCAAAGACAAAACAGAATCAAGATGATACTATAAACTAGAGAAAAAGCTTGGAATAAAAAAAAGCATCTTCAGTTTTGGCCATTAACAATTCTTTTTTAAACAGATATTATTGTAGTTTGTTCTTAATTGCCCATATCTAACTATGACATTATTTTATGTATCTTTTGACTATACTTTTCTTTTTTTTTTTTTTTTTGTCTTTTTCATTTTTATCGGTACCAGGGATCGAACTCATGACCGCCTGCTTGCAAGGCAGGTGCTTATGCCGCTGAGCTAAATCCCCAGCCCCTATACTTTTCTGCTGAATGTTCAAGACCAAGTTAAACTGAGACCTGTACTAATTAAAATTAATCTCTAGATATCTCTGATCAGGAATCATAGAACCTCTCAGTTCTTGACAGTGTCAGCCATCATGATGAGTCACAGCCACTGCTTGACCAAACTGCTCTCTGTGAAAGCTTGGGACATTTTTCTTCTCCTGGTGACTCTCCTTAGGCTGACATTGTCATATTATAGATCACTTTTTTTGTAGTCCCATTAACAATTCTTAAAATTCAACCACCATTGTTAACATTTTACTATACTTAGTAGAAGAATTTTTTTCTGTTTTTTTTGAGAGAAGGTCTTGGGGCTGGGGATTTAGCTCAGTGGCATAAGCGCCTGCCTTGCAATGCAAGCGCATGATGGTTAAAAAAAAAAAAGTGGTCTTGCTATGCTGGTCAGGCTGGCATCAAACTCGCAAGAGTCTTTCTGCCTCATGCTCCCAAGTGCTGGGATTATAGGCACGCAGCACCACATCTGGCAAGAATCCTTGCCTTTGGAAAAGAAAATTTACTTCAAATTTGCATTGTCCAATTCTATAAACAGTAATACTTGGTCTCTGTACACCTGAAAGGTGTTTAGTGAAAGTGAAAAATTCTAAATTATTTTTGCCATTTTCAAATAGTCAGGTGGTCCGTAACTATCATGCTCAACAGCAAAAATCTACTGTTCAAGGTCCACTATTCCCAAAGACAGAGCTTTGTACCTGAGAGACAAAAAGGTTCTTTCCATTTCATGATAATCTCTACAAAAGTTTTATCCATTTTCTCCATGAAGTTTGTGATCAGAATTTTGTACTCTTTGTTTTTGAGACACGGTTGGTCTTGCTATGTAGTTCAGGCTGGCCTCAATTTCAGTGATCCTTTTGCCTGAGCTTCAGTGATGGGACTACAAGTGTGAACCACCCAGTCTGGCAGAGCTCTATAGTCTCGTTTCTTTCCAAAACAGTCCAGGTTGGCCTCAAATTTGCAGTGATTCTCCTGCCTCAGTCTCCCAAGTGCAGGATTACAGGCAAGCACCATCATGCCCGGCTTAAATTCTTAATATGATGTCTAAAACTTCCAATTCTGTTTTCTTAGGGCGTAACAGGACATTTCTGTTTAAATCCAACTCTCTTGTTTTCATCCCACACAATCCCACTACACTTACATCATTTGGAATGGTGAGTTCGTGAGAAGTAGTCTGAGCAGAGGCATCCAAACCTGCTAAAAGACAGAAGAGAGCAAGAAAGTTCAATGTACAGCACTCAAAACCACATGATTTGCATATTAAACTAACAGAAAGAAATTAAAACTGGAAACCCAGCATTGGCTGTTGGGATTCATCACTACCTTGGAAGCCTCCAAGGAGAAAAAGATGGGGAGAGGGGGGTGTAGGAATAATGCTGCAATGTTCTTCTGTACACTCAGAAGAGCTGATTTCATGCCATTTCCTGCAAAACCCAGTCTATTATCGATACGGGGATGGAAGCAAGGGGTCAGGGAATGTGGTATCCTCAAACAGGACCAAAATCTAAACATCAAGTTCTTCTGTACTTTCACCCCTTATCTGCTATTGTATTTTATCACACCCAACGCTCACTAGCACCTATGCCAGTATCATGCCTGCTATTGAGTACCATGGACTTTTGGCACACATACGAAGTTGCTTTAAATATACCTGTATCAGATTAACATCCTCCACCTCTATCCTCCCAACATAGACTTAAAAGGTCAGAAAAAATGCAAGGGTTGTCAGGTGAGGGGAAGCTCATTTCTCCAGATTCATTCCATCTTTTGCTGAATTTGTTCTGGCTTTTGTTTGGTTTTCCAATGAAAAAAGAAAATCCCATCAGGAAATACCCATACCCATCTGTAATGACACTTGGACTGGACCAGATCAGTTGGCTAACGCTTACAATCCCAGTCCTGCTCTCAACTATATTTTAAAAGGGGGGTGGCCAGATCCATCAAGGGACCCTCAGGGGCACCAGGCCCACCCCTTTGCTCTCTCAGCTCCTCTCTGCCATGTGCATGTTGCTGGTATGGTTCATGGGCAGTGAAACAAGACTCCCACCAGTTTATTAATATAACAGTAGAATACTACAGATTTTTTTTTTTAATCATTACCCCAATAGCCTTTCACCTCTGGAGAGCTGGATTCAATGCCTGTTAAGATACAAGTGAAAATGAGTTTGGTGGTCTCATCCTAACCCTATCGGACAAGTTATTCCTTATACAGAAAAAAAAGCCCAAAAAACAAAACAAAACAAAAAACAAAACAAAACACTATACAATTTGGCACAATGGATTGTCTCTACCCAGTTTGTGAATAGCTGGTGGAGAGAAAGGGGATGCTGATCAGATCAAGGGGGCAAGAGTTAGGACACATTACAAGAAATATTAGCCTACCCTTTGCCTGACAAGCATCCCCAGACCTCACCCCCAAACATTCCGGGCCTTTTTTTTCTTTTAGAATAACTCACCCCAAATGAAAACCATGTTAACAAACACATTACCTCCTTGGGTTTAGCCATGGACAGGCTAAGTTTAAACCAGCAGGATGCTGGGTAACGAAGTTTGTTTTAAACAGATGTCAAGCTGAGACCTTGGGACTGGCCTCTTTCTTGAACTACACCTTACAAAAATAAACACTGAGGTATCCATACCACTGAATCCGGTGTTGCCATGCGTCATGGGAAAATGAGACTGTTGCATTGCCAACTGGTGCAGCTTGGTCAACTGCAGAAAGGAATACGAGAGGGTGGCATTAGAAGAGTTATAAAGCCAGGGCTCAAACATGTTAAGTGTGAAAATGTAGAGCTCCTGATCCAAACTCTTACTATTACTACAACACAGGGCAGGTACCGAGTTTACAATACAATTCTAGGGATGGGCAGAATATGAAGAGTAAGGGTTAAAACAAGTATAACTTTAAAAAAATGAATGTATTTTGGGTACGTGAAAAAAAAAAGTTAACAGCTCCAGCCCAACAACTGTCCCCTTGTGGGCTATTTAATGAAGGTGTTTGCAGCCATTGCAACAGTTGCCCGAGGGACAAGCAGAGACAGGCTAGGTAAACAAATTGTGCAGTGGTGCTAGGGAAAACACACCATGCAGGGTTCTGCCAGTATTAGGGATAGGGAAGGAAATGAGGAAGACAGGGAGACTGCAAGAAGAAAATATAGGAAGAAAGCAAACCGGGTTTAATCTACACCACTGATGTGTATAGCTGTTTTGATTCACTATATAAACTGTCCTACTGTAAAATAATCCCTCCTCAGGTCTACTCTCTCTCTCTCCTGGGGCCAACCACTAACCAAGAGCCAATCTCAACTTTCCAAGTCTAATGCTCAGCATCTGAAAAGATTAGTAAAAATAAACGAAGAGTGCAGGAAGAAATGTCCTTAAACAAGGTCTAAATACCAATACTTTTAAAAAAAATAATAGTTTTTAGTGTCAAGGAAAGTTTTACTGAGTCGAATCCCCACATGTTCAACTTCCTATCTTGCCCTGGATCAGTAAGGCCCTCCACCCCCACCCCAAACATTTTTTGTTACCTGAGATAGAGGAGTACCCAAAGGCACATCCAACAACATCTCACCCCCCCCCCATGCAAAGGAAGACTCTATTCAAGGAAGCATAGTTCACTGCCAACTTAAACTATGCCGAGATGACAAATGACAATATACCATGGAACATCTTTTAGATTAAAGTAATCTGAAATATGGAAAAAAGTAGAAGGCAATAACTTCCAGGGATTAAATGTCAAAAAGCATACAAAGTTTTACTAAACACTGGTTAAAAATTACTTAAGGGACAAAACAGGTGGTTCACCTCCAAAGGATAACAATATTGCTAATATTTAAGACCCAATTCATTTCGGGATACTTGAGAGAAAGGAGTCAAGACAGTTTTGGATGGGAGAGGGAGCTTTTCAAAATAAGTAAAAACCAAACTTACATCTGGCTGTGGAATGGCATACTGTCCTTGAATGGTATAGGCCTACAAGAGGAGGAAAACAATTCCTATTAAAAACCAATCACGGACAGCCACCCAGTGGGAGGGGGAAAAAGGGGACAAGATTTCAACTAGCCAGGAAGCCAGAGTTGAATTAAGAGAATGGAGAGCCAGATTGAGGCAGCAGGTAGAATCTCACATATATAGTCAGACCCAAACTGGCTTCTTTGAATCCTTAATGACTTTATTCCAGGGATCCTATAAGGTAGCCAAATTCCCAGCAATCAAGGCAAAATATACTGATGTGCTTTTTAATGACAATGTGGAAAGGTTAAGCAATGCCTTGATTGATCAAGCCCCCCACCCTCCTCCCTACATAAAGACAACCTAGGAGGGAAAAGTTCTTTCTTCCCCACCCTAGCCCTTCTACCAATTGTGGTGCTGTGAATGATTTATACCTGCACAAACTTACATGACACATTTTGAAGTACTTCCCTTTCTTCTATTTTTTTGTAACATCTGCCTAATGACCCTGAGTACACTAGAAGCTAGCTGGATCCCTAACACTAGGGAGCTAACCACAGAACACAAAAATCCCTATGCTCTAAATCCTGACTTTCCCACCTCCCCTCCACAAAAGGCACTTGCAGCTCCCACTAAGCCCTCCTCCCACCACACCATGACCTCCCGAAAAGGGAGCTGGGTCTTCAGGGCAATGGGGTGTGGGACAAAGAGGGAAAGGTAAAGGGGAGGGGAAGGAATGAATGGCTGATTAATAGGATGTGAAGAAGCTTCTCACATCACCATGGCCAGTATCCCCACAAGTGCACCCAGGTAGGGGTGGGAAGAAGGTGAAAATAGGGTGGGAGGAGTGGGATGGGGAGGAGGGGTTGAACCAAAAATAAAAAAAAAAAATAAAAAAATAAAAATAAAAATAAAAAAAAGAGAGTTGGTGTTACCATCTGGTGGGCTACGCGGCCTGTGTGAAATGAGGTGGGGGGGTCAGTCCAGGTCCCCGTGGACAGGTGGTGTCCACAGCACAAAAATCACCAGCGCCACTGGCCCCCCCGCGTGTTGGCAGTCTCGGCTGAGGCGGAAGGATTGAGTGAGCCTTGGAGACTGAACATCCCCTCTCACCTCTAGAGGTGGTCCCTCCAGGTCAGGGTTGAGGCACATGGACGGGGTGGTGTGGGGAAAGCTCGCACTGTCGCTGCCTGTGCTGTACCTGTCCTGTGGATAAATAGAGGATTTCAGTCTCCAGGGCTGTCAATCCGGCACCTTGTCACCAGCATGAAATTCACACAAAAAAAGTTGTTTATTTTTTCCTCTTTCCTTTAAAAAGGAGCTCACGACACAAATTTGAAACGAGCTGTAATCAATAAATTAAAAAAAAAAAAGTTACCTAATGGCAGATTTCACACTGCACAATTTTGGATTATTTTCAGTAAGAATGAAGGGATGGGACAACAGCCGATGCCAGCTCCTGGAGTGTGGGACTAAGTTGAATCCCTACAGAGCTCACTTTGCCACAAAGGAACAAAAGATACAGGTCCATCAGTGGACACTGTATGAACTGGTCCGTACAAAAAAGGCCATGGGAATGACCCATGACAGGGTAACTCATGGAAGAAGCTGCCAGCTTTCTTAGAGGGTGGTCAACTGAATAAAAGGGAGGGTAGGGAAGCAAAGTGGTATAAATGGGGAAGAAGAAAAGGAAAAGGAAAAAGTGGTATAAATGGGGAAGGGAAAAACTTAAGTATAAGAGGACTACTGCCACACAGTGTGGGACTTCTTTGAATTCCACATGGGAGTGGGAGGATCCTGCAGAGCAGGAACCTGGAGTTCCAGGTGAAAAGGGAAAATTCCTAATGCTAACCCTCCTTGCTACACTGACTAAGCCCTTGCTTATTCTACCCAATATATACAAAATGACAGCCCTTTCCCCAAACCAACTTACACAAAGCTACTGCTAATGCAAAGTATTATCCTGCCTCAATAACACCGTCACACGATTAACTTGTGATAGCTCCCAGAACTATATAATGAACTTAAATTCCCCAACAGTTTTATGCCAATTCAGTTAAATGTGGATGAAGTGGACTTCAAGTCTATGCTTCTCTCCTAAATAGCTTCTGGGTCAATATATTAAAGGTTCTTATTCTAACAGTCTAGATAGACCCAAGTGAGAAAAGGCACTCTGAGCACTGCATTTGCTCATGCAGCTACCAAAATAAAGGTCACTATTACAAACTGAATCTCCGTATTTTAAAAACTGACCTACCTATTCCTCAAATACTAACCAAAGCATAAAATGACCATGGTGCTTCTGCATGTTGTTGTCATACAAATCTAATCTGAGAATAAACCATGTGTCAAAGATGAAGAGTTTAGGCTGGTGAGGAAGGAACACAGGAAGTCAAGGGTATGCTTTGGTGTTCTTGCTCTAACACCAAAGGTCACAGCACCACAACCCAACAAGCTATCCCCCCTATTCTGGCACACTGAATTTTCACCCCAGCTGATTTCAGTTATGCCAAACGGGTTCAAATGAATGTTTACAAGAACCTGAGGAACAACACACTGGAGTTTGGGAATGAAGGGGAAGGAGTAGGGGAGGCGAGGTGCAAGGAAGGGGAAGTTTGTAGGGCACTCAAGTTCAGGAGTCCCCAATTTGAGACCAGCATCCAGATCTCCTTCAGAGGTCCAACTCTGCTACATTTACTCATACCTCTGAAGATTACCCCATACATACAAAAACACGGACAAAGTGGAGGCAGGGACAACAGTGACACAGAGGCAATTTAACTGTGCTCTAAATCATAACCCACCTTAAATTAACAGGTTAAGTTACCTCTTCTGAGTGCCTACAAAACTTCCAATGCCTGCTAAAAATTAAGGGCTTGGCATTCAAGGCTTTCTCCAGTACAAAACATGAAACTATAAGCAAGTCACACTATGGCCAGAATACAGGTCTCAGCAAGCATGCAGAGTGGATTTGGTGTACTGCTGGCAAAGTTGACATTTCAAATATAATCTCTGTTCATTCTAGCCCATCAATAAGAATTTTCTTACCTGACCACCTGCAAAGATGACTGGAGAACTTGATGGCTTGGGCCGGTACGGGATGGTCACGCCCTTCGGAGGGGACTGGGAGAGAGTCAGAGGGGGAAAAAACAAAGAGAGATAAGGTTTCAAAGCTGCTTCAGCTGTGTGGCTTTAGCACACACAGTTCAGTTAAATTAAAAACTTTCATCCCCTTGCCTAGCAAGTTATCTCCAGCTAAATATAACCTCAAATTACACGTATCTCCTCAACCTTTCTGGTTTTTGAAATAGGCTCTCACCTTTTCCTTTTAGTTCTGATTGGTTTTAAACTCTTTATGTAGTCCAGACTAGCCTTTAACTCCTATGATCCTTGTGCCTCAACTTCTCAAATGCTAGGATTATATGCATATGCAACCACACCTGGCCTAATATTTGTCTTTAAGATGTAAAATGGTCCATGCACTACAAAGCTTGCATTTTTATATTGAGTTTTATTCATTGTTTTGGTCTTTTTTGAGGCAAGGTTTCACAACGTAGTCAGGCTGGCCTTGAACTCAATTATCCTGCCTTAACCTCCAGATTGCTGAGATTACAAGCGTGTAATTCATACCCAGCAAACCTTACACTTTTTCATAAAAGTAAACATCCCGGGCTGGGGATTTAGCTCAGTGGCATAAGTGCTGCCTGGCAAGCATGAGGTCATGAGTTCGATCCCCAATATTGCCAAAAAAAAAAAACCATAAACGTCCCTTAAATAACGTTAACACCACTTCATATAGTTTTGGTCAGGAAAAACTTCCACATGCACATTTTAGTTGGCAATTTTTAGGATCTTATATTTTATACTGAACAGGAAATAAGGAGCCCAAGTGTTACAGCTTGGTTGATAGAATACCATCTATAAATAGCTCAAAGACTTCAAAGACTATTTTTCTATACTTGGAAATTAAAACTTTTTCTCTGAAAGGACCAACTCTGTGGAATGCTAAAAAGAAGCTTAACTGCTCTTAATTTCACTCTTCTTTTAACAGACTAATATTAGCAGGAACTCATAAGGCATTTAAAAACAACACTATGGTAGCATATGCTTGTAATCTAGTACTCTTGAAGGCTGAAGGGAGGAAGAACACAAGTTCAAACCCAGCCTGAGCTACACTACAGTAACTTAGCAAGCCTGCCTCAAAATGGGGTTAAGAGGGCCTGGGCTTACTGTAGTTCAACATGAAACCCCTGGATTCAATGGGGGACCAGGGGGTGATGATGACACATTATGGACACATTTCTTAATTCAATATAACTGCCATTTTGACTAAGTCCTGCTTCAAAATAAAAATTAACAGATGTGTAAAAGTTTCTTAAAACCAAACACTATAAAAGGAATTTAGCTTCCCAAGAACCCAAAGGCATCTTTTCTCCAAAGTAATCAATCTTTCCATCTTCCCCTACCAAATGTTAGAATTGCTATGAACCAAAAGTTCACTGATACTTAGCCTTCTCTATTTTTGCACACAGACCGTTAAGTAAAATCAAAAACGAGGGAAGGAAAATATGAACTTAGGAAACCTCTTTCCTTACCCCACCCCCTCCATTGGAAGCTTCCAACAGCTTCACCTAATTCTAGTCTTACTAAATTTAGATCAGTTCTTCTGTCCTCCAAATCACCCTCCCTCCACTCCCAGCATGAGCCTGAGGGCTTACCTCCAACATGACCACGCAGATCTGTTTGACACACTCAATGATGGACTGCGGGATGCCAGCAATAGTGATGGCCCGCTCAGTAGAGTTGGGAAGCATATCTCCTGCCACTTGGACCTGAGCCCCTGTACTCTGTTTAAGAAAAAATTGAAAATAAGAAACAATTCATGTTTTTCCAATTCCTTCCAGTAACAAATTTATCCCATCTCCTTCTTCCTATTATTCCCTTATTTCAGACAATAGTGGAAGTTAAAAATAAATTACCCTCTGAAAGACAAGACTACTACTAAATAACAACCTAAATTTAACCTACTCAAGAAAAAGGTCTTGGACAGTTTTCTCTCAGCTACTGATATGGGCCAAACCAGGCATGGTACAGTCCTGTCATTATGATACTTAAGGAAGCTCAGGCATGTGGATCACTATAAATTTGAGGCCAGCCTGAACTACATAGCAAGAACCTGTGTCAAAAAATATTTTTTGGAAAGGTAGTTTTATGGGAAAACAAAATCCTCACAAATACTATTTCCCTTTCATTTGTTTATCAAACAAATACTGATGTCAAGCCTATTCTACATATCAGGCAACATTTCAAGTACTTTCTGACATTAATTAACAAAATCAAGACCTATTCTTACATTTAAAGGCTCCCAAGGTTCTGATTAAATTTGTTTTGTTTGGATACTGGGACTGAACTCACAACCTTGCACTTGCCACGCAGGTGGTGAGCTAACCCCCCAGCCCTCTGATCAACCACTTAAGGCCTCATCCCCACACCAACTCTGGTAATCCCTGGATACAATGAGAAACATCCACAGTTCAATCCAACTTTCATTATTAAAAAGGGAACAGAATTACAACTATATATACTATATGTCTCCCTTTCTCCTTGGTGCTTAGTTTGGCCAAGAAAAACATTGATACAATTACATATCAAACTATAATCACTTTTATTATGAAAAGTATTATAATCTCATAAAAAAGTTACCAAACTATGCAAAGTTACAAAAGAAATGGAAATTACACGCAAGAGTTGGAAGTTTTGGCTAGCTTTCCCACATTTTGGTCACTTTCTGTTGTTTTGATAGTGGGAAGTGAACTCAGGACTTTCACACTCCATTACTATATACCCAGCCCTTTTTATTTTTGAGACACAGTCTTGCTAAATCACTAATTGCCCAGCCTGGGCTGGAATTTACAGTCCTCTCGGGTAAGCCGCATAGAGAACAGGTGTGTCATGACTCCCAGCTGTGGCTATTAAAACTTATGAATTGAAAAGTCTGACATGGTGGTGCATCCCAGCACTCAGGAGGCTGAGGCAGAAGATCGCTCTGATTTCAAGACCCATCTAGGCTACACAAAGTGAACTCATGGCCGGCCTGAAAAACGTTAAGTGAGATTCTGTCTCCAAATACATACATATATAGAGAAACTTGATGAACTAAGCCAGGCACCATGGTGCTAACATGGTGTCTCAGATACACAAGAGATTGAGGTAAGATTGTTTGCTTCCAAGAGTTCAAAACTGGACTAGGCCACGCAGCAAGGCACCCTTTTTAAAAAGGGAGGGAAGAAAAGGACTGAGGGTTAAGTAGCATAGTACAAGAGTGCTTACCTAGCATGCTTAGGACCTAGGTTCAATCTCCAGCACTACAAAATTAATATCTATGAAGTATGTTAAGAGTCATCAATTGTATAACTCTTTCATTATCAGTATACATTGTAGTCCTCCCAGCCTGTTACTTTAGTAAAAGTCTTCTTATCTAATGCTAACTATTCCTACCTAGCTACTTTAAGAGTAAACAAAGCCACATTTGGAAGAAATACTAACAGGCATGGTGATGCATTCCTGTAATCTTAGCACTTGGGAGGCCGAGATAGGACTGCCATGAGTTTGAGTTCAAGGCTACCCTGAACTACAGTGAGATCTGCCTCAAAAGAAAAAAAGGAATACCTCTCTTATTTCCTTGATCTTGCAACCGCCTTTTCCAATGAGAGAGCCACACTGACTAGCAGGTACCACCAGCCTCAGAGTGACTGGAGGTCTACTGGCAGCTGTGCTATTGGTCATAGAGCTGCTGATGTCCTACAAAAAGAAAAAATTAGGATACCAGAGAGACATACAAGCCAAAGCAGATCCCCAAGAGCCCATGGCTTCTATAAAGAATCATAATTGTGTACAAGTCACATCATTAAACTGACAGAGGTTCAAATACCAAATTTCCAACTAAATGAAGATAAAAACTTCTACGAACTTCCTCAGAAATAGCATGTATTTTCTTTTATTCTGGGAAAGCGCACTTGGATAAAGAAAAAGCAACTATTTTACAAATTATTGGAAAAGCAATGGGAAAAACATTTATGTTACCATTAAATCAATGCCAGGTGTGGTAGCACACACCTGTAATTCCAGTACTCAAAGACATGGAGGCAAGAAGACTGCCGTGTGTTCAAAGCCAGCCTGGGCTACATAGTGAGTACAAGGTCAGCCAGAATTGCATAGTGAAACTCTGTCTCAAACTTCCACGGCAAAAGGGAAAAAAAAAAAAAAAAAAAAGGCAAAACATTAAATTGAACAGTGAAAAAAGATAAGCTGAGCTTGCTGATGCACGTCTTCAATCCAAGCACTCTAGAAGACTGAGGCAGGAGAACTGAAAGGATTACAAATTACTCACCTGGGTAATTTTACAAGACTGTCTCAAAATTTTAAAAAAAAGGACTGAAGATACAGCTAAGTGTGAGATCCTAGGTTCAATCTATACAGTATTACCAAAAAAAAAAAAAAAAAAAAACCACCACCACTACATACAGGGCATGGTGGTACATGCCTGTCATCCCAGCACTTGGAAAGCAAAGGCAGGAGAATCATCATGAGACAGAAGCTACCCGAGGGTACCTAGTAAATTCAAGGTCAGCCTGAACTACCTAATGAGACCTTGACTCAAAAAAACAAGTAACCTTCTTAAATAATCTTCTTAAGATTATGTGAAGCCAAGAGTAGGGTCATATGCCAGTACTCCCAGCACACTGGAAGGATGAGGCAGGAGGATCCCTCAAGTGTGAGACTAATTTAAGACAACTTTAGTGAGATCGTTAAGTCAAAATAGCAAAAAAAGGCTGTGAAAATAGCTTAGTGCAAAGGACTTCGGTTCAATCTTGAGTACCAGGACAAATAAAAAAAGATTAAGTGGGTTTAAAGACCACTTCTCAGCCTCCTCTTTGGGTAGCAGTTAGACCATGAAACTGCTTAAGCCCCTGAAATTAAGGATGTTTCCTTCTTAAATAATAGTACATTTTCTAAGCCACCAGCTCACAGGGTCCTGCATGTCAAAAGACAACCTTTCTAGGGCTAGAATATAATTTAGTGATACTGCACTTGTCAGCATGCACAAGACTGTGGGTTTAAACCTCAATTAAAAAAAAAATTTGTTTCTGATTTGGGTAAGATTTCAGGTACCATTAAGTACCAAGCACCTACCATGTAGTACTTCTGCCTCTGCTATTAGTTGCACAATTAGCTGCATTACAACAGAAGGGTGAGAAGAAAGCTGAGCGCAAGGAGGTTTGATGGGGACAGAAACTTTTCTAATAAAATCCCTGGCACGGTTATTTTGCTCGATTAATCTACTGCTCTCTATCCAAGCAAAATCTTGACACATTACTAGTGTCTACATTTTTTTAAAGAATAGACATATAGGGGCTGGGGATTTAGCTCAGAGGCATAAGCACCTGCCTTGCAAGCAGGCGGTCCTGAGTTCAATCCCCAGTACCGATAAAAATGAAAAAGACAAAAAAAAAAAAAAAAAGACATATTTTTTGTACCAGCACCCAGTTGGAAGTGTATTTGTGTTTGACAGGACTCCTAACAAAAGTGCATTAATTAACTTCTAAATTAGCTGGTATAAAGTTTGCCAAAAAAGCAATGATTTATCTTCAAAACCACTGGCCAAGATATTTAAAAGGGGAAAGAAAAAAGAAATTTAAAGGGTCTGGAGCTCTCTGTGATGGACCATGTGCATAACATGTGGGGGCCTCCAGCCACAATTTAAAAAATAAAAACTAAAAACAAAACAAGGAGTATCAGGGAAAAAAACAAAGGTTACCTGTTATGCTGGATAGAGTGCTACATTCTTATAGTTCCAAGTATAACAATAATAATAATAATATCAATTAAAACACAACTACAAACAACAACAAAAAAACCACAGGGAAAAGGAACAAAAACAATAATAATAAAAAAAAATATATAGCGAGAAGGAACAAACCTCTTCCAGTTTGTCAATGATCATAGCAAAGGCTTTGAAGATGGCATTAGTGGGTCCAGCCAAAGTGATAATTCGCTCAGGACAATTCCCTTCTGAGATGTTAATACGTGCACCACTCTGGATAAGGAAAAGTAAAAATATCTTAACAATCTGAAAAAGATCTGACAGTGTACAGGATAGATACAAGGACAAAAACTGCCTACATATAGAAGTCAACATCATTTCTACAACTGTTCCATGTTTGTCACTGAATACATCTAGACCAGCTGCCTCAAGGACTTGAATTACTTTTGAGATTTGTCAAAGAACTGTATTTCCCAGTATACTATTTGTCATTACAAAAATCCTGAGCCATCACTGAGTGTGGCAGCACATGCCTGTAGTCCCAGTACTCAAAAGACTGAAGCACAAGGATCGCCCTGAGTTTGAGGCCAGCCTCAGCTATGAGTCCCTGCCTCAAAACATTCCCTTGGGGATTTAGCACAACAGCACCAGCATCTGCCTGGCAGGCACAAGGTCCCAAGTTCAATCTCTGGTACAAAAAAAAGGAAGAAAAAATTTCCCCTGCGCCCCTTCTGAAAGAATTCTTGACAGAAGACTGAAAATACAGCTTAGTGGTACAGCACTTGCCTAGCATGGTTAAGAGCCAGGTTTAATCTTTAGTGTAGTAAAAATAAAAAACCAACGGAACCAGAAAAAGATAGGCTTTTCCTACTGAGATTTCCCCACAGAAATCTCACTTGTGGTTAAAGATTTTTCACTTCTCAAAGTTAACTCTAAAGTCTCTCATAACTTACCTCCTCGCGCATCTTCTTAACAGACTCTCCTTTCTGCAAAAATAAAAGTCAAACATGAGCTCCAACTGCTATTTCAAACAGAGGTGACTATAAATAGTTATTTGAGTTCAAGAAAAGTTTCCTTACCTTTCCGATGATACTGCCAACTTCCTGCAATGGAGAAAACTAGGGTCAGTAAGTAGAAACTCAGAAGTATTCATTATTATGAAAATCAAAAGTTATTATGAAAAGTAGTTTCAGACAGGCATGGTGGCACATGCAAGTAATTCTAGCACTTTAGAGGCTGAGACAGGAGGACTGCTGAATTCAAAGAACTATATACCAAGAACCCTGTCTCAAAAAAATAGGGAGGGTGGGGACTTCTAACTGTTCAGCTAACTGCGGCCTGTACTAACTAAATACTACCTTCAAGGAACAAAATGATTTTAAAATATGTGGAGAGGCATCTTGTTTTTTTTCTTCACTCAAGATTTAAAAGTGAGCCAATCATTAACAGTGAAATTGTCTGCTTTGTGTAGTGTACATGCCTGTAATTCTCACATTTCAGAGGCTGAGACAGAAGGATTGCTGCCAGTTCAAGGCCAGCCTTGAACATAGTGAGTTCAAGGCCAATCTAAACTGTATAGAGAAATCTTGCTTTAAGGACAGTGGAGGGGAGTGAAGCTGTCAAAGAATTTTGAGGAACCAACCATGTAAGAGTGACTAAATATATACTTTTGTATTTAATATAAATTATTTCTAAAATATCAACTAAGTCTCTCCCCTTTCAAGTTTCTTAAAATTATTTGGGAAATCTGTTACAAGCCATAGCAAGTTCTATTGAAAAATTTCACCACCCAGGTACAAGGCAGTCTTTGGTTTTAATCTCTAGCTAAGCCTTTCTTGCTCAGTGGACCTTCCTACTAAAATCTGTCCATTTCCCCACCACTTCCACATTTATTTCACTAGAGGACAGTGCTTATAGCCAGACACCCCACAGGGCTAATCTGATGAGCTCCAAGATGCAGGTCTGTTTTTCCTGGCTCCTCCCATAGCAGTTACTATGACCCAATTTCCCAAATTGGTGCATACCTTCCCATGCATAAGTAGCCGGATGGTGAGAGTGACATTTAATCCACCTTCAATCACACCGGTGTCCATGTCGAGTATTATGGGGAGCTGGACTTTTTGAGTGGTCAAGTCTTTGGTCACTGGTGGGGGTCAAAGCCAAAAACTGAAATGCAAACATGACCAAAATCAAAGAAGAAAAATAGGTATTATTTCCCAGTTATTTTCACCATAATCAGTATTTTCCAATTGATTACTCTCCTTAACAACCTACCAAACTCAAATACACTCAACACAACTGCACAACATTACAGGTTCTGTTACAACATAAAGAAGACAACTTTCCAGTTTGCTCTCACTTAGTTTCCACTGACTCTGAGGATGAAGATACTCCCTTCACTGGCAATAGTTCTAAAGTAACTGCTGAATGTGCACCCAGTTGTCCTTCAGCAGAATAGACTTCAAAAAGGATTCAGAAATACCTGGGCAAACCTCTAACTAACTACAGTAGGAAGCAAAAATCACCTTTGCTCCGCTATTGGGCAGCAGAACAGAAAGCGGAGGAACACATGTAAATTTTTTTAGTGGTACAGCAATTTCTAGATAAATTCAGATGTATCCCACATTATAAATTCCAGATAGTAACGGATAATATTAAGCTTTTAAAAATTTAGGTCAACCACCTCCCTGAAAAAGGCATTATCTGTGATATCACCTATTTATGCCAGAGTTCTGTACCGTCCTTTGGGCCATGACACTATATAAGTACAATTGAGTCCTTTGCTCCTAAACCAACTTGACTGTCAAGTCATCTTCCTTGCTTTTGTGTACTTTCATTACCATTCACTTTTTATTCAAAAATATTAAATCTTGAACCTGTTCCCAAAGAAAGCAATCAGTACTGATTATAATGCAATGTTTTTCCTATCCAGGACAGTTCTTTCCCCACTCATCTTCTGAAACAATGTTCCTAAAAGTTCTGCTCTGGAATAACTTGTGATGTGCAGAAAGACATTTTGGGCATTTCTTTTGCCTTCCATATTTTCTTACACTTAATCCTGATAACTGTAAAACAATCTCTCCCAAGTTGTTAACTTTCTCCAACACCATGGTAAATTGCCATCCCTTCAAAACTGAACATCAATGACCTCTCTCCCTCTATAGCTAGTTTCCAGCTTCACAAAATTAAACTTTCAACTGGGCTGTTCCACAAAGTCCATACCTACTGCATATGCCAAACTGTGCACTGGCTACTGTAAGTGATTATATAAGTACATTCCTGAGTACACCATTCCTAAGTACACCATTTCCCTACTTTTCAAAATAGTTAATTGTTGCCAAAATCCCACAAGCGGCACTTTTCACTCATGAAAAAAAAAGTACTTTTCACTCATGAAAAAAACAATGCTTGGCTGCAAGTGCGATTGTTGGGTCTATCGGTATTATTTTCTTTTTTTAATAAGACATGGTAAAAATCTGGCAGGTCAAATCCTGTTCTTTCAGTTGTAATAAGCAGCATTTATAAATACAATGCTGCAAGTTCAAAAGCACGAAAACTGAACATCTGAAGCCCTTTCTTGGACATAAACCACAAAAGTGGCATTTTTAACTCTGAACTACGTAAGTACTCCAAGAAATCTGTCATATCTCTCCTGACTAGGTCAGTATACGTGTATCCCGTCCCAGGAATCTAGCTGTTAATTCTGCAGTCAATTACTCTTCTATAAATAGCTCGGTTTGGGTTTCGTAGGCATTTTGTCATTTCCAAATTCGTTACCCAGAATGTCCCGAATAACTCGGTAAGCAGGAGCCCCCCTCCCCTCGGTCATCCAAGCATTTTCCACATAAAAAAAAAAGCTCCCCCTTCCTCCGACTAGAAAAGAGAAAAATAAACGGTTCGGTCGGGGGGGGGCGCTGCGATCCAAGGGGAGGGGCCGAGCGAGTAGCGCCTCCTCGTGTGGCTGCGCCAGCGCCTGACCCCCACGGGGAGCCGCGCTCACCCGCCTGGCCAGCAAGCCGGCCATCGCCTCCCCACCCCCCTCAACCAACAAATCCACCGCCGCCCCCCCTACCGCGCGCGCGCCCTCCTTGACTCCTGCGCAGCCGCCACCGGGAAAAGGCGGGGGGGGGAGGGGGATAGGCCTCACGCGAGGCCTACTAGGCCGCGCCGGAGCCGGGGCCTCGCGTGAATGGCCAGCCAGGCAGAGTGAGGCGCTAGGCGCATACACCGGACTACGAGAGTCCGGGGCTCCTGACGAAGGCCAGAGACCACTAGAGAACACGGCACGAGAGGAAATAGGGGCTATAGCTGGAGGCGAAGGGAAAAATTTTAAGCTTACCTGCAGGCGCGAGGCGACTGAGGGGAAAAGGGGAGCGGGCGGGAAGGGGAAGGGCGGGAGGCCGGGGGCGGAACAATAGGGGCGGGCGGGAAGGCAAGGGGGGCCCCGCGGGCGGGCGGAGGAGGAAGGGGGGGGTGGAGGAGGAGGAGGAGGAAAGGGGAAAGAGACCCCGGGGCGGGTGGAGGGCGGCGGAGGGCGGGTGGAGGGCGGCGGAGGGCGGGCGGGCGGGCGGGAGAGGGCGCAGGCTGCGGCTGTTCCGGCTGCTGCCTCTGCTGGTCTGGGAGGGGGACGGGGCGGAGCGGCCCGCTTTCAACCCCGCGCACCCTTCGACCCCGGAAGCGCTAACCGCCCCGGGGGCCGTCGAGGCGACTGCGTCGTCCAAACCTTCCCCACGCGATGTGAACGGGCCTCCTGAAAGCCTAGAGCGGCTCCGTGGATGCGCCAGTACCAGCGAGACCACAACCGGCAGTGAACGATAAATTGTTAGATAGAGTGACAGCGTGAGTGCGTAAGGGAAGCTAGTGGCCCCTAGCGACCAGGTTGAAAAGCTCAGGCGTAAGTGCGCAGAGAGGTGGCAGTCGCCATGGACTAGGGAGAGGAGAAAAAAGGAATGGGCTTTGGAAAAGAGCTGAGGAAAACCTATTGAGTCTATAATAACACTCAAAAAAAGAAAGGTTAAAAAAAACTAATCCAACACATTGAATGACTATTACACAAACTTCTTACTCTGAAAATTGGTAGTTAAGAAGAAAAAGTAAGCATTTACCGTTACTTTTTAGAAAGTACTATAGTTAAGTAATTGATAGGGCAAAGCCCATTTTATGAAATATCCCATCTAGGAAATGTAGAACTGAATGAGTTAGTAGTCACCATCGTGAAACCAAGAATGTAATAAATGAAACACTATTGATTCAAGCAAATATCATTAAATTTTTAAAATATTATTAATGAAAAGTATTATGATGGCCAACCTCACCACAAAGATTACTTGCAAATAATCTTTTTTTAAAAAAAGTAAATTCAAAAGGTGAGTTCAGACAGTCACTACACAAGTGACTGAACTTCATCACTAATAGTAGAAAAGTTTGACATTACATGTTTTGGATAAGATACAATAAGAGTTACACAGCATCGGGGCTGGGGATTTGGCTCAGTGACATAAGCACCTGCCTTGCAAGTAGGCAGTCGTGAGTTCGATCCCCTGTACCGATAAAAGGAAAAAGGAAAAAAAAAAAAAGAGTTACACAGCACAGGTTGGCACAGTCCTACAAGCCTATAATCCCAGCACTTGGAAGCCTGACGGAGGGGGATAAATGCTAGCTCAAGATTAGCCTGGGCTACAAAATGAGTTCAAAGCCAGCTGGAACCACATACTGAGACCCTACCTCAAAAAACAAAACAAAACAAAAAAAAACCCAGCGTGTTTAGAATTAAACTATTAGATCTAATAGATCTAATTTGCCATTTACAGAGGATGAAGGAACAAGTTCAACAGCAACACAATATTAAGATGTAAACCCAAAAACGAGGAACGTGCCACAAAACAACTAGGCCTAGTCACTTCACACAAGTGGCCTAGTCACATCAAAAAGGCAATGAAATATGAAATAAATACATAAAAGGAGGCCAGGAATAGTGGTCCACACCTATAATGCCAGCACTCTGGGAAACTAGGCAGGAGGATCTTACATTTCAGCTGAGCCTGGAACTTAGTGACTTAGTGAGACCCCAAAACAGTGGAGGCAAAACAGGACACACAAGACCCCTCTTTATTGGTACATGAGCCTAGTTGGCTTAGGCCTTGAAAATAGGCAGCTAAATTATTTTTCAAATCTGAAAATCCATTTAGAAATTTCTGGTCGGGGATACAGCTCAGCTGCACAGTGCCTGCCTGGCAAGCCTAAGGCTGTGAGATTGAACCCTGGTACCAAAACAAAGAAAGGAAAATTCTACATTTACAGACAATCCTACAAGCCATCAGAAAAGGTACAAGGAATTTTCTAGCATTGTAGCAGCTTCAAAGGAGAATTTTAATATATTTTATACAGTTCCATAAGATGGAGACATCCTTGTATTTTAATCTCCAGATAGTCAAATTTCAAGAACTTGAAATTTCCTGCTTATTCTGGTTAGATTTTGGAAATCTGGGAATGGAGCTATTGGAATTTCAAGAGAACTCTATCTGGAAAAATAAACTCTATGACTTGCATGCAACACTTGAGAAGCCAGAGTGTGAAGGAAGGACAAAGGACAGTATGGTTGGTAGTTCTGAAAGTGAAGTCCTTAATATGTGGAATTCTCTGTCAAATAATTTTAAATCAATGAAAGCACTTGGGATTGCTTTTCTTACTTTGTTTGGATCAGCTTATGCTTGTGAGCACCTGTTTTCACTTTGAATTATATCAAATCTGATACAAGTAATAGACTAATAGATAACCAGAATGCTGCATGTGTTGCACTCAAACTAAGGAAGCATGAGCCAAGGTTTGACAGACTATCAGTGTGCATATACCAGCAACGCTGAAATTTATTGTGAAAAGCATGACAAATGCAGACTTTTACCTTTCAATAAAACATGCCTTGTATCACTGAAAGCTCTGTTATTGGGCTTTTTTTTTTCTTGGTACTGGGGATCAAACTGACAACCTCATGCTTGCCAGGCAGGTGCTTATGCTGCTGAGCTAAATCCCCAGCCCTGAGCTTTTCTTATAATACAAAATATTCTAACATATAAGTTGCTTTTTCTAAACTAAAATCTCAGTATTCAGGTTTAACTGTAGTGTTGGCAATTTGTGGCAATGGGTCTCTAAAAGACTCCCTATAAGTG